AGGGGGCACGGGTTCGATCCCTGGGGTCAGGGAACTAAGACCCACATGCTGGGCGGTGTGGCCAAAAAAAAGGCAACAGAACCTTAATAGTAACTTTTAAAGCACATTTAATAGCCTTGTGTGGATAGCTTCACAATTTTATTTCACCTTATTTTACTTATTTACTTATTTTTTGGCCACTCAGCATGTGGGATCTTAGTTCCCCAACCAGGGATTGAACCCGCAACCCCTGAAGTGGAAGCACAGAGTCTTAACCACTGGATCGCCAGGGAAGGCACTTCACAATTCTAGAAGAATTACTACAATCTGTACATCAGCATAGTTTAAACAACTGTTAGTATTAGCAAATAACCATCCATTTTTAAAAACTGAAAAAGTGAAAAGAGCCCAAAAAGCATGTTTACTCCAAAATCAGAAAAGAACCAAGTTCTTGATCTGAAATCAACTGAATATTCAGAAGCATCTTCCCAGTAGCATGTGTAAAATTATAAAGCTATACACTATGTATTTAAGATAACTAAAAAATAATAACAGAGAGTACCCTTCTTAGAACTACTTTATCTTAAAACTGTAACTACACTGGAAGAAAACTTACTCAAATTATCTGTCACAATTCAATTTACAGTGCTGAAGAACATTTTAAAACTTAAGTCGCTCCATCCTTTGAAGGCCTCAATGGAAATGCAAGTTTATTACACTGAGGTTAAGTAACGACCATTCCCAATAATTGCAAAAGACTATCTTTTTGTCAGACTAGAGTTTTATATTTTCACACTGAAGAGATGAAAAACTCAAATCTTGTGTCTTGTCCTCCAAAAATAAGTGGTTGATCATAGATTATTCTCACCTTTATGATGAATGATCAGATTCACAGAACTTTTCCTTGTACTGAATAGCAGTACGGAAAGACAGAATCACCATTAGGCTAGAGTAGGAAAACCTGGTCTAACATTAAACTTAAGGAAGTCACCTCACTTTCCTGGGCTTCAATTTCCTACAGATGACACCATAATTTTGTATGACTAGATTTCAAAGTTTAACCTTCTAAAAGATGTCAACAGAATTATAAGTATATAGCTCCAAGAAAAACAGTCTGTGTCCTCAAAAGAAAACCAGAGTGTACTGTTTTCCAAGAACACCATGTTCTATAAATCTACCCAACTGTAACAAATGAAGTATTATTCAATTACCATTCAGGGCAACTGTATGTATATGTTTGGAGGATGGGAGACTTCTTACCTACTATAAAATGAGACAACTTATAAGGCAATACATGGTAAAGATAAGTGAAACTAGCCAAGAGGAATGTAAGAAATCAATTTTGCTTAGGGAAGTCAGGGAAAAGATTATAGACAGTACATCTGAGTATGAACTGGAATGATGGATAATGTTTTTGTAGATACAGACGATGATATTCCAGATAAAAGGGGCAAAAATGTATTTGGGAACCACTGTGCAACAGTCTTAAATTTAACTAAAGTGTAAGTTGTAATATACTGCTATAAGTAGGGAGGGATCAATACTTACACAATAAGCTCCAGGCCAAGGTACTTGAAAAACTTTGGCGTATAGGATGCCTAGTTTCAAACCAATGATTTAGTAGACAATTTGGCATTAATGTAAAGAATTAACTGTATTCCCAGAATCATTTACAATTAGAACATATTCACATATTACTTATGTAATAAAGAAATCCAATAAACAAATGATGGGGAAAAGATACTGGAGATTAGTTAGAAAGCTACTGCAGAAAAGACAGGGTCTGAAACAAAGGAGTAACTATTCTTATGAGTCTACCAAAAAATTTAAAAGTAACACTGCATTTCAAAACTAAGAGCTCTAAATCCAAGGTGACAAAATTTCAAACTAATTTTCTGAAAGGGAAAATGCTGAGCTCTTAATATGAAGTTTAACAGCAATAAAATGGTATCTTTCACAATATGCTTTCATTCCATGTTACATTTCATATAATTAGTCCAAAAAACAAAAAAAACCGAAAAAGCACAACAATAAAACCAACACCTCTCCTGCAGACAGTTTAACATCTCATTCAACATTTTAATTTAGCCTAGAGGTATATCCTGAGCCTTCCAGCATTAAAGACAGAAATGCATTTTTCCCCCAGAAATGCATTTCTTAAACCTATGCTCCACACTCCCAAAGGCTGCATTTCCTTCAAATCTCAACACAGGATTTCAGATTAAGTCTACACCTCTAATTAGTGACTTCTCAAACAATGCTTTCCAACGAATAATTTGTTTTATTTGCTTTGCTACATTCTTGCAAATGTATGAATGAAAAGTACGGTAAAATTAACTACTGTGTACATATAGGGTGCAAAAGGTTTTGAGCCCATTTTAGCTTTGAAACATGCTTCTGAAAAATTGTGAGCAAACAGAAGAGGAACTGCTGGATCTTTCTTTATATAAGGTCTTAAAATAAGACTCAGTAGGATGCCATTTTGAAACTTCCCAGCAGGAAGTTCAGTTTGATCAGAGGGCTGGTTAAGAAATGCTTCAACTAATAATATGAACTGACTTGAAAGTCAGCTTTGTTCTTTTACAAAAGAATATACCAAATTCATAGCAGGTACTACTTTTGTTAATTCAAGAATCATAAACTTCTCATGAAAAATAAGTGTCTTGAAATATCTGAGCATTCAATTAAAATTATTGTGATAAATTCTCTTCCAAGGTATTGAGTACCAGAGATCTGTTACGTGGTAGAATGAAATAAAGACTCAAGTTCATAAATTTAAATTGGCTAAAAAGAAAGCTTTTCATAACTAGATCAGAATCTAACCAAAAACATACTTGGAAAAAGCAAGGATAATTTGAGATTAGTCTTAAAACATGCTGTCAAGAAATAGGAAGCATTTCCTCTTCTGCCCTCACAATTGTTTTTGCTTTTTTTTTTTAATGACTTAACCCGAAGTTAGGAGAACATCACAGTACTTAGCCTGAAAAGATCCATATTAAAGAGATTGGGATTTAAAACCCCAGTAGAAATTTAAGAGACCATAAAGAAAGAAGCTAAGCCAGAGATCCATTCGAATGAGTTAGGAACCAAAAGCGTTTCAGTTCTGTTCCACCATAATGCCACAAAAGGCAGCCTTAAAACTTCTACGATTACAATCTTAGGCAAGAAAGGGTAATACTTTCAGTTATTGATGGTCAAATCTTGGTGCCTTGATTCTAGACTTAAGTTTCCACGGAAGGACTTGGGCCCCCACTTGTTGAAAAGAGACCAACTGTCTAAACAAGTTTTATCATCATGGGACCTTTTCAGTCAAAGCACAACTATATGTCTAAAACTTTATGTATCATCAGCTCATTTTCTCCTCAGACAAGGTAACAATCTGCAGTGTCCTACAACAGGATTATTTAAACTGATACCATATATCTTATTAATAGCTAAAATACTACACTGCCAATCTTTGGATGGGTAGGAATGTCAACCTGAGCACATTAAACCCAAATACTTCTACACAAACAAGTTTGTTCTTATTCTGTTTGACCTATTTCCTGATTTTGTACGTGTCCAACCATTTTTTCATCCGTGTATCCCTAACTCCTATCAAACGGATTGTCATGAGGCAAATGTTCATAATTTTTTTCGCAAACGGTAATAAACTACACTCACTCAATTATTAACTGGTCAAATAAACTCCCCAAGGCAATCGAATTTTAGAGAAAGAGGGAGACTAAGTGCTATTACTCACTTTCAGGAAAAAAATACTTTTTATTAGAGCCCTAAAAACTGTGATATTTGAATGACTTCAAGGGGCAAAGTTTCTGCTCGAAGTTTACTTTAAACACAACATTTCCAAACCACAGACATTAAGCATTAAAGCTTCATCCTAGTGAGGGTACTCCTCTGTGGGAGCCCGGTGGTGTGAAATCTACAGAGGGGGTGGTACTGAAAAAGAACACCTGTGCGTTTGGCCTCACGGAACCCTCTAGTAAGACCTGTAGTAAGTCTCTCTGCCACCAGCGCTGAGGCCTACAAGTGCTCGGCTAGGAAGCGGGCACTGCCTACGGATGAGCGGAACCGCCACTACAGCACAGACACTGGGCCCGGTGGATGGGGGCCGACTTTGGAGACAGAGTGAGCGCCCGGGCGCGCGAGTGGAACAAAACCTGTGGCAAGAAGTAATGAGGAAGTGCTCTCTCCCGCCCGCCCCTCCCACCTGCGGACACCCGAAACACCCGGGATTTGACAACGTGCTGGGGGCGGGGGAGGGGACTGGCAGTTCCAGGTCCGCCCAGAGAAACTGGGAGCCTGTACTCCAAACACGGGCCCCTCGCCCCCGGAGCTAGGCCTCCGGGGCCGATGCCCGCTGCACCCATCCGGCAGTTGAGGAGCTCGTGGGAGTCTGAGAAGGGTGCAGTCCGCGCGAACCGAGGCCCAGCCGCCCCAGCTGCCGCCACCGCCGCCCTCAGAGCCTCCAGGCCCGGGCCGGGGGCCATCCCGGGTCTCATCCCGCGCTCTGCCCTCCGCTTTATGGAGCCTTCGCCTCGGCCTCTTCTCTTCAGAGCCCAAAGACTCTACAGCCGAGGGGAGAGAGTCCGCCTTCTCTCGCCTCTCCACTTCCCCGTCCCGACTGCCCCTCACACAGCGGAGCGCCGGGAAACGCTCCCAGTGGCCCCGGGACCACCCCCGGTCCTTCCCGCACCGGCACCCGCTTTCCGTAGCTGACACCGCCCGCCGGCCCCAGCACCCGACCCCAGCCCACCTCACCTCAGGCGGCTCCGGCGGCGCTGGACACAGGAAACTCCTGGGTCCCCGACTCCGGCTCTCCTCTACCCCTCTTCGGTTAACTCCGCTTGTTTCTCTACAAAATGGCGCCGGAGGTCGCGCGCTCACGTCGCGGCCTTTCCCCTCCCCGTTCCCATTTCATCATTCGCTGCCCGCCCGAGGAGGGAGGGCCCCAGCACCAGCCAATGATCGTACCCCGCCCGTGGCTCCTGCCCAATCACCGACGGGTGCCCGCGGATTTAAACCAATCACACACTATCACTTGCAGAAGTCAAGGAAGAAACCAGGCTCTTGCTAGCAACTACCAATCCAGACTCCTACTTCGCGGGCTTTGGCCAATTGCCGCTCACCAGTCCCCAGGGACGGGAGTAGGAGCCCTTGCGCCTGCGCTCGAGGCGAGGGCCAATGGAGAGACGCAGATAACTTCGATTTGGGGTTTTACGGACTTCCCACCTGCCCTCGAGGTCGTCGACCAATGGGGGCCTGGCATTGCCTCTGAGAAACAATAAATAAAGGAGAGGGCTCTTAAATCCTCGCCACCTTGCGCGGGCACTACTCTGAGAGGGAAAAACAGCCTTCCGATACTCTCCTTCCTCTTTCGAAGTGTCAAGTCTGGTAGACCACCGGGCTTCCCAATCTTAAACATTTCCCCACCCCCCACCCCCACCCTTCTTGTCCATTTGGCGGGGAACGCCAGCTCCCAGAAAGCAAGCCAGCCTGTAACTAGAGTGGTGGCGCTTTTGCATCCTGGGATATGTAGTTCCCCCCTCCCCGTTCCTGTCGCAAACGTAGTGCGAGTTCTTCCGTCACTGACTGCGCCCTAGGAGGAGTGATGCGTGCTGGAGAACGTAGTCCCCCAGGTTCCCGTTTGGTCCTAGCCTGCCTCACTTTCAAGAGAACTTTCCCATCTAGTTCTGCCTGTTGAAGAAGGGACTCTTTACAGAGAGGTAGGAAGCTCAGTCTCTCTTTGGCTTAGTCCCTGCAATTGGTATCAGAAAGAATACTTACGCCCTTTGCTCTCGGGAGAAAGAATAGAGAAACATTTTTTTAAAGATTTTGTGGTCACGTGTTCCTAGCTGAGTGTGGGAGGAGTGGAAGGAAGTGTTGGCTGGTGGCTCTTTTAAGTTTTGAAAAAAATGTATCCTCATCACCCCGTCCTGAGGCTATGCTGGGTTGCTTGTCTCCTAGCCATCTCTCTCATACTACCTTTTGTGCCTAAAAATGCTTTAAAAAAAATTATGGTAAAAACACATAGCATAAAAATTACCATCTTAGCTGTTTTTAAGTGTACCGCATAGTAGTGTTAAAACTATATGCATATTATTGTGCAACTGATCTCTAGAACTTTTTCATCTTGCAAAACTGAAACTGTATGCCCATCAAACAACTCCCCATCTCCTCCTCCCAATCCTTGACAACCACCCTTCTATTTTCTAAGAGTTTGACTACTTTACATACCTCATATAGGTGGAATCATGAAGAATTTGTCTTTTTGTGACTGGCTTATTTCACTAACGTCCTAGAAATACTTACTGACACCTGCCCATTCCTTGGTTGGAGGCAAACTCTTTCAGCAGACATTTACTGAGTGGTGATTTCAAACAACTGTAGGATACCCAGGGACCCCACATACAGCAAGGTCAAGGGTTGCTTCAGTCCTGTTCATGGCTGTATCCCAGCACCTAGCACAGTGCCTGGCACATGGTAGACATGTGAGCAAATAAATGTTGAAAAATCAGGAAATGGAGAAATGGACTTAAAACATTATGATATTAGTGATAGAAGGCCCCCTAAACAGACCAAGGATGAGGAATAAGTCCCTTCTATACCTTGTTCCTGTATAAAATTGCTAAAACCTCTATGGATAGCAGAATTTTGGCCAAATTTATCAAAACTGAAAATGCACAGACCCATTGACCCAGTGTCTAGGAATTTATTCCACAGGTGAATATTGCAGATTTGTACAAAGATGAATATATAAAGATATTCACTGATGCATTGTTAATGGAGTCCCAAAAGATTGGACACAATAGGGAAGAGGATAAATAAGTGTATGGTACTGTTATACAATGGAATACTACAGAGTTTTTAAAACCCGTGAGGTAGTCTATGGGTACTGATATGGAATAATTCAAAGATTTATTGTTAAATTTGAAAGTTAAGTGCAGAAAAAGAAAAAACGAAACAAAAAAACTGATGGTATAATCAGTATGTTACCATTTGTGTAGGAGAAAATAACTATATTTGTATTTACATATAAATAAATGCATAAAAAGATTTGAAAAGATACACCCTTTCCCCAAACTGACACCAGTTGTTATCCCTAGGGAGGGGAGTGGAATGAGGAAGGGTAAAGGGAGCTTTTTCTTTTTCTTTTGTGTATTACTATATTATTTGAACTTTTTGCAAAGAGGATGTATTCATGTTCTATTTGTATAATTTAAAATAAAATTTTTTTAAAAGGAGACAGCTAATGACATCCATAGAGGTCAACTATCTAAGATCAATTCTGTAATTCTACAACTAAATCAGGTCTCAGACATAAATCTCCTAAAGTCAGTTGAATGAAATAAAACTGAGTTGCCTTTCCCCACTTCCGCCTGTCTTTATACTGAGGCTGCTCTGGGAGACCCTTCTGCCCACTGCCAGTGCCGCCCTCCCACGCCCCATCCTCACCCCCAGCTACACCAACACCACTGCTAGGATTTGACGTGCCTTGGGGACTTAGCCTAGTACTTGCAGGATTTGCACAATAAATAGCCTGGAGATCAAAGTCCTTCAACTGTGTGTTGTCAAGAATTCTGGGTGGCTTCTATCCCTGCTAGAAAAGAGAGAGACTCATAGAATGTTTACAAATTGGAAGGGTTAATGGAGATAACTTAGTGTACTTTTTTCACTTTACTGAAAGACATAGTTGGAAATCATGCCCAGACAAACTAGTTTACTAGAGACTATCACAAAGGCATCACCTTGTAACTTAGCAATTATGTGTTCTGGGGTTCAAACATATTTAGAAATAGGATATTTTTACCAGCTGTTAATTACTCACCTGGCCTCTTTCCTCAGCCTTCTTCCAATCCTTCACCCCCAATTAACTGTGCTTCCCATGCTCTAGAAGAACTATACAAACTCTTTTGTTTCCCAAAATAGCCTGGAGAGGGAAATCTAAGTGTTAGGAAACAAAAGCCTTATTGAATTGGCTTGGGGTGGAGGCAAAAATACCTAGAACACAAAGGACTTTGAGAGGTTGAGATCTGTGCAAACTGTGTTATAAAATGTTTGGTGCTTGAATGAAGAAGAGATACAAGGCCTTTTTATTCAGTGTTCTTGTTTTTCAGTCCCATTTATCAGAAAGTCAGTAACTTCAATTTACAGTAGTTTTGTTTTGTTTTGTTGTGTTTTGGCTGCATTGGACAGCATGTGGGATCTTAGTTCCCTGACAAGGGATCGAACCCATTCCCCCTGCAGTGGAAGCATGGAGTCCTAACCACTGGACCACCAGGGAGTTCCCAGTTTATAGTAGTTTTGACTGTCTTATCCAAAGCAACTGACTGACAGCCTAAAGCTAAATTCTGATCTCCTTCCAGACCATCAGCAATGCCTAAGCAAACCTTATGGCTCCCTGGGCACCCAGGCTTTGGTATGACTTTGGTGGCTCTACCCTGATGGGAGGATGACCAGGGAGGCACATTGCAGAAAGCCCATTGAGGAATTCAGAAACCCAGGCCCCGAACCAGGCTGTGCCCCTAACTTTCTGTGTAACCTTGGGAAAGTCATTTCCCCTCCCTGCACTTCTTTTTCCCTCTTTACTATTCTGAGGATATTGGATTTGGCTCCCAAAGTGTGTTCTGTGGACTCCTAGGAAGCCAAAGACTTACTGTGTGGTCCTGGAATTCTTATGTGCACATAGGTTTATTAATCAACTAATATACTCTAAAAGTAAAACTTTACATGCTTTATCTCATCCACACCTCAAGACCCTGTAGCGTAGGGACCCCATTTTACAGATCATAAAACTGAAGCTTAGAGAGGTGAGTCACTTGCCCAAGGTCACATACCTAGTCAATGGCAAAGCAAGCCCTGAAACCCAAGCTCTCTGACTTCAGGGCTTACATTCCCAGCCACTGTCCTCTAAGCCTTTGTTTGGAAACCCCCGTGCCTAGGTGATCTCCCAACTGTCATGTTCAGTGGTCCGTAGTGATCAGATACTTTCCAAGCCAAAAAATGTGATGCATCGTCTGATAGGGTGTTATAAATGAGTGAGACAGATTCTGAAAATACTGCTGTGAGTTTGGTGTTTTCCAGTTGAGTTTACATTTGAATTTTTAGATTCTTTTTTTAAAAATTTTATTTATTTTTGGATGCGTTGGGTCTTCGTTGCTGCGTGCGGGCTCGCTCTAGTTGCGGCGAGGGGGGCTACTCTTCGTAGTCGTGCGCAGGCTTCTCATTGCGGTGGCTTCTCTTGTTGCTGAACACAGGCTCTAGGCGCGTGGGCTTCAGTAGTTGTGGCACGTAGGCTCAGTAATTGTGGCTCACGGGCTCTAGAGCGCAGGCTTAGTAGTTGTGGTGCACGGGCTTAGTTGCTCCACGGCATGTGGTATCTTCCTGGACTGGGGATCGAACCTGTGTCCCCTGCATTGGCAGGTGGATTCTTACCTACTGTGCCACCAGGGAAGTCCCTAGATTCTCTCTTTAATACAGGATTTTGTCCCAAGACTGTGTAGGAAACTCCTGACTTTTTTTTAAGGTTATTTATCCCTCTCTCTCTTTTCATGAGAGAACAGGGAAGAAGCTAAGAGGAAAAAGGAAAAGCCACAAAGCATCTCCTCTGGTTCATGGTTAGTTTAGCATGAGTTAGTTTAGTTCATGAGTGGATGCTTGCAAACAAGTTAGAGCAGGTCTGAGAATCCTACCTGGGCTTTAGACAGATTCGCGGACTTTAGGATTATTGATGGAATTCTTCTGAGCTGGACAGAGTCTGTATGACTCTGCCGTAACTTTCTGTGTCCTCCCTGATTACTCTTCATTCTCCGCCCATCTGGGCCCCTGCCTTGGCAGATAGCTCTCGTTTAGTACTACAGACTTCTCTGGGCACTGTCTCAGCTCCTCAGCCCCCAACTTACACTTAACATGGTTTACCTAAAACCCGTCTCTACTGTCATCTTAGAGGGGTAAACTTACAAGGTATCCTCAACTGAAGGTGGGAGGGGGCAATGAGTTGAGCATTGTCTTCCAAATTCCTTTTTTTAGGGTGGAGGGCCACACCTCCCGGCTTGCAGGATCTTAGTTCCCCAACCAGGGATTGAACCAGGGCCTCAGCAGTGAAAACCCAGAATTCTAACCACTGGACCAACCAGGGAACTCCCCTTCCAAATTCCTCTTGACCATTCCATACTTCCTTCTCTAGGTTATTAAGTCCATCAGACATTTAATCTCTTCCAAATACAGTACAAAGTCTTGGAAGTCTGAGAAAAAGAGGCCTCTGTCTTTAATATGTTTACAGTCACTCTTTGGAGGAGCAAAAGACAGACCAGGAAATCATTAGTGAACAATTCAAGCCTGTATGTTACCTATAGAATGAATAGGTCAATAATCTAAATGCTGGAAGCTGATCCAGGAGAAATACTTTTGCTGGAATTCTTTCAGGATATGTAGCTTAAAACAGTACCCCCTCCCTGAACCCCAAAAGGTAAGCTTACTAGCCACCCACACTGGCCTGAAAAGGACTTTTCATGACCAAGAATCCCTGAATTCAAATATATTGGGGGCCTCTTGGGCTTCCCTGGTGGCACAGTGGTTGAGAGTCCGCCTGCCGATGCAGGGGGCACGGGTTCGTGCCCCGGTCCGGGAAGATCCCACATGCCGCGGAGCGGCTGGGCCCGTGAGCCATGGCCGCTGAGCCTGCGTGTCCGGAGCCTTGCTCCGCAACGGGAGAGGCCACAACAGTGAGAGGCCCGCGTACCGAGAAAAAAAAAAGAAAATCAAATATTTGTCCTTCCCCACACGACCCCCCCCCCCAGAAGCTACAGCAGCTATCATTAATTAGCTCATCATATTTGGTAGGCAAAAATCTTCCAAAATTCAGAACCCGTAGGGAAAATAATAAGCAAACATCTTTGGAATAAAATATTGGGGAATCTCTACGGAGGCCCATTTCAACCCCAAAAATCTGAGGCTAATTAGCCTCATTCACTGACCTGAGGATGAGGCTAGGCCCATATTTGTCATTGTAGCCCTGTGGTTTTAGAGTAGTCACAGATGGTGAAAGAAAGGACAGGCTCCAGGTTCAAGTAAAAAAGAAAGCATTTGGAATAATGTCATTCAAGCTGCTATAACAAAATACTGTAGACCCAGTAGCTTATAAAAACAGAAATTTATTCCTCACAGTTCTGGAGGCTGGGAAGCCCAAGATAAAGGCACCAGCAGATTCAGTGTCTGGGGAGAGCCCAGAGCCCACTTCCTCGTTCATAGATGTACATCTTGCTGTAACCTCACATGGTAGAATAAGCAAGGGAGTTCTCTGGCATCCCTTTTATAAAAGCATTAATCTCATTCATGAGGGTTCCACCCTTATGACCTAATCACCGCCCAAAGGCCTTACCTCCCAATACATCACACACACCCCTCCACCACCAGGGCAGAACCCTCATTTCTTCAACAGATAATCATTGATTAAACAACAGCTGTGTCCTGGAACATAGCTCAGAGCAGAATAGGCACTTCAGGTGTCTGTGCAGGTTGACGTTGCTCATGATCATCTGCTCAGACTAGCAGAGCAGCCAACTGTCAAAGAATCACAGATGTGATAAATGTTAACAAAGGGGGAACATAGGGAGTTTTGGGGAGCCTGCAACCCAGTCCGGGGATTCAAGGACTCTCTAAGGATGTGAAAGGGAGTAGGAGTTCTCTAAACAGAGTGGCAGAAAGGGAGTACATTCCAGCAAAGAGCTAAGCCTCACCGAGATGATACTGGCATCTTTGAAGAATTAAAAGACCAGGAAGGTTGGAGCCTAGAGAGGCAGCCAGAGGACCATTTAAGCCTCTGTGCTCAGCCCTTTATCCTAAGGGCTCTGGGAGCCTTTGAAGGGTTGGATGGAACAGCTGTTGTGCTCATATTTGCACTGTTTGAAGGTCACACTGGCTGTTGCGTGAAGCAAGTACTGGTGTCCAGCCAGAGAAGTTGCTGGGAGACTAGCCAGGAGGCTACCGCAGGAGTCCAGGGGAGGTGCTGGCCATGGGAATGGAGCAAAGTGGGCTTTGGCAACCGATGGAGTGTGAAAGGTGAGGGAGAAAAAGTGAAGGATTGTCTGCCCTTGGGCACCTCCTTCCTCCCACCTCAACTCCGCCTCTTGATGCAGGGAGACTGGAGGAGCAGGTGTGGAGGCAGAGACAGTGAGTTCAATTTGAAGGTGAATGTGTTTCACACATTCAGGCCGTGGGCTAAAGCTCTGGGCGGCTGAGAGCCAGAACTGCTGATGGAGGCACTGACAAGCCGGTTGCCCTGGGGGAGCCTTCAGAGAGCAGAGGCCTCGGGGCCCTGAGAAGAGCTGTGCTCAGGCTCCTGGTTGAGGAGGGAAGAGTCTCCAGCATGCTGGGAAACAGCCCAACCCAGGAGGCCTGAGGACTGCTGGAGGCTGAGTGAAGTCACACAAGCCAGAGGACTGAGGGACCCAATGTGTTTGAGCAGTCAAGCAGGGAGGAGGTTGACAAGGCCTTGGGCTGTGGGACCTTTTCTGTGGCTGAGAGGGGGTTTGAGCCAGATGGGATCAGGCTGCAGAGGAGAGCTGTAGCTGGAGGGCAAAGGAGGGTTTGTACTTTTTAAGATAGAGGGATTGGGGCACATTTAAATGCTAATAAATTTCTTTTGGAAAGAAGTTATCTCTCCTCCCTGTGATGTCTCCTCCCAGGAGTTCAGGTTTAGACAGCTGGAGGGCCAAGGTCTTCTTTGTTTTTGAAATACTTGGGCTTTGATCTTCTTCCGTCCTCCTTCTCCTGAGGGTTCTTCTCCCAGGCAGAAGGTATCCAGCAACAGCACCCACTTAGAGCTGCCTGGGAAGTGACTCTTCCTCTGACTGTTGACTTCTGGGAGAAGAAAGGGCTGCAGCCATCCCGCCCCCACCCTGGCCACCCGGAGTCCACCCTTCCCCTGGGGCATCACGTCCTCACTGGCTGCTTCAGGGCCTCCACAGACCTCTCCCCACCCACGAAGTTGTAAGCCAGGTCACTGCCCCCTTTATAGACAAGGGCTCAGAGGTCATTCTGCAGCAGCGCCCAGGGGAAAGGGACCATGTCCATATACTGCATCTGGTACTGAGGGCAAACCTGGGCACTGCAGGCAGAAGCAGCTGAGGATGTCCAGACATCCGGCGTCTACTCCAGGAAACTGGGAACTGGGATTCCTGGAGCCCCTTTTCAGCCTTGCCTCTTAATCAGCAAAAAGTTGCCTGTAGATATGGGCCTGTCCACTCTCCCAGGATAACGATGGTTTCCCTAGTGCCTAGGCTCTAGGACCCCCACCTCCATCCCATCTTCTTCCAATTGCAACAGGTGCCTCTCCCTCATCCATTTCCTCTTTCAACAAATATTTGAGTGTTTACTGTATTCTGTCGTGGTCCGAACGCGGGTTGGAAAAGAATTTCCAGACACAAAGCAGAATGTAAAGAGGTTAGAATTTATTAGAGGGAATGGTCGCTGCCAGGACAGCAGGCCGACTTCCTAGTAGTCTGGGAGAGCCAACCCCGAACACGTGCTATTAGTCAGTTTTTATAGCCCTAGAACAAGGAAACGGTCCGAGGTGAAATTTTTGTTTTCTGATTGGTCGAGGCACATATACCTTCCTTCTTTAGAGTGGGAGTGGGATGGGGCAGATGCCTTTCCTTATTTGGGACGAGAGAGGAACAGGTCTCGTAGCCCAGGTGGGCTCAGGAATTTCGTACCCATCGCAACATGGTGATTAGAGTCCAGTAGGATGTGTAACGCTGAAACTTTTTCAGGCAGGGTTGTCCTTTGTCCTTGAAACACCATTGTCCTTGGAGCACCACACGTTCCAGGCACTGTTACAGGTGCTGGGATCATAGTAGTGAACCAACAGCCTGCCCTACCCTACATCTTAGTGTCAGCTATCTCTGCCCTACCTCTCCCCAAGAAGGCCCCCCAATCTTGGGAGGTCATATCCACGCTCTCGTGCCTCTGCCAGTGGCTGCTAGATCTCCTCGGGCTTACCTGCACAGTTCCTAGGCAGGGAGGGAGTTGAGGGTGTGGCTCAGCTACAGGTATGTGGTACGGCCTGGCCTGGATACATTCAGGCACCCCAGAAATGGGGCCGTCAGGAGGCTGGAAGCAGAGAGTATGGAAGGGGTTATGGGGTTGAAAGCCTCAGATATTCCCTCCCACCATCCCATTTTCCATGCCAGTCCCCCAATACTTGGTGAACCTCATAGAGATGCTATTTGGGGATCCCACAAGCTCGTCCCATGCTCTACAGCCCTGAGCCCCTTCTGTAATTCTGCTCATCCCCTTCCCATGCAGACTAAGTCCTTCTCTCTCTCTAGAATCCTTCTCTGTAAAACAGAAGAGTTGGCCTAGATGATCTCAAAGTCCTTTCTGTCTGGAAATGTTCTGACTTCCACAGCAGCCCCTGGTCCACCCTGTACTCCAAATGGGAGTTGTCAGGGAGAGTTACCTGGAGAAGGCAGGACAGAGAGAGGAAGGGCAGCCAGGCCACTTTGCACGTCTTCCTCTCTTACCATCACTACGTGATAGTCCCAAGAAGTAAGGATCCCAAGGACACACCTGTCCTGGTCAGGGGACCCTGGGGAAGTGCTGCCTGTTCCCCCATTCCCACCATCCTGAGCACCTCACATTCTGATCTCTTTCAGGCTCAGACCATGCTGTCCACAGTCCAAGGCTGCCCTAGGTAAGCTTTTTTTTTTTTAATATTTATTTATTTGGTTGCACCAGGTCTTACTTGCAGCAGGCAGGCTCCTTAGTTGTGGCTCCAGGGCTCCTTAGTTGTGGCATGTGAACTCTTAGTTGCAGCATGCATGTGGGATCTAGTTCCCTGACCAGGGATCGAACCCAAGCCCCCTGCATTGAGAGCGTGGAGTTTTATCCACTGCGCCACCAGGGAAGTCCCCAACAAATTGTTTTGTTTTGTTTTTTAAAGAATCAATTTTATTTATTTATTATTTTTGGTTGCGTTCGTCTTCGTTTGTACACACGGGCTTTCTGTAGTTGTGGTGAGCGGGGGCTACTCTTTGTTGCGGTGCACAGGCTTATTGTGGTGGCTTCTCTTGTTGCAGAGCACGGGCTCTAGGCGCGCAGGCTTCCGTAGTTGTGGCTCATGGGCTCTAGAGTGCAGGCTCAGTAGTTGTGGCACACGGGCTTAGTTGCAGGGATTGAACTCGTGTCCCCTGAATTGGCAGGCAGATTCTTAACCACTGTGCCACCAGGGAAGTCCCCCCACAAATAGTTTTTAAGTGCCTCCTATGTGCCAGGTGTTGGGAATATAGCAGCAAAAAAGCAAAGTTCCTGCAGTCATTGATTTTGCATTTAAACAGGGGGTTGTGATAAACAATACTACTAAGGAAATAATGTTGAGCAGTCTAAGTGCTATGAAAAGAAATGGAGCAGAATAAGGTGCTGGAGTGACAGAGGTGGGAAGGTTGGGGAGGTGGTAGCAGCTCTTTTTGTTTGGGGAGACCTCTCTGATAAAGGGTCTGAGCAGAGACCTGAAAGAAGTGAGGGAGGAAACCACACAGACATCTGGTGGCTGAGGGTTCCAGGCAGGAGACCAGAAAGTACAAAGTCCCTGAGTCTGTAGCTGAGGCTGAGCAGTGGGAGAGGAGGAGTAACAGAAAAAGAGGTCAGAGAGGAGCCAGAACTGTGGGGCCCTGTCAGCCATGGTAGATGAGGACTTTGGCTTTCATCCTAGTAAGAAGAGAAGCCATAGAAGATTTTGAGCTGAGGATGTGAGCTGACCTTAGTTTTAAAAGGTTACTGCAAGAAGAAGACTACAGGAGAGCAAAGGGGTGGAGGGCAGCAGGAATCTTCAAAGTAGAAGGATGTAATAGTCCAGGCAAGAGATGATGGTGGCGCTCGCTTCAGCAGCACGTAGACTAAAATTGGAACAATACAGAGAAGATTAGCATGGTCCCTGCGCAAGGATGACACGCAAATTCGTGAAGCGTTCCATAACTTTATGTGTATAACTGATTCACCTTGTTATAAAACAGAAAGTAACACACCATTGTAAAGCAATTATCTCCAATAAAGATGTTAAAAAATAATAATAATCAGCCCAAGTTCTTCATTCTGTTCTTGGATTTTGTTAAAAAAGATCCAAGGGGGAAAAACATTCTTCTGGAGCAAGATTCTTTTCAAAACTCTGTCAGAAAGAATAAAATAAGAAAGAACATGAAAAAAAAAAAAAGAGATGATGGTGTATTGGACTAGTTGCAAAGGTGGAGAAAAGCATTACCTCTAATAATTATCTCCAGACTACAGGGCACAGCACTCACTGTCTCCCATCCCACCTCACCAACCAGTTCCTGGGGTGGCCACGTTGGCCTGGTACCTTCAGAAGAGGTTGCTCATGCCAGCAGCGTTAAGGCCCCTGGTAGCCATGTGCCCCTCAGCAGAGTGAGTAGAGGTTGCAGATGTTGAGGGCAATGCCCTGAATCATACCATAAGCTTCCAGGACCTGCAGAGAGGAATCAGTCCAAGGACTTTCCAGGGTTGAGGGTAAAAACACAATTTGCTACTCTTTCAGGCACAGGGTCTGTTGACTGGGACACCTAACGTGGTGAAAACGGCCAGCAAAGCATGAGGGACTGAGCCTGTGCCCTCTGGCCTCTTGGGTCAGGAGGCAGTCTTGGAGCTGACCCCCAGGGACACATCCATGCCATACCACAGGGAGCTGAGGGCACTGCTGCTCCCCTCCTCGTGGGAGAGAGCTACCAATTATAAGCCAGCTCCACAAAGTCAGGGGGCTGGATTATGCTCTAGAGGCCAGGATTCACAATTTTTTTTTTTTTTTTTTAAGTTTTGACCCCATTTAGATAGGCCCAAAGGCTCTGTGGTCCTCTTATCTCACCCCTTCCTACTCCTAGTGGTATTCTACTATCTCCACGTGGCCATGCACAGCAGGAACTTTGCAAGGCTGCATGGCAGGCAAACCCCTGGTAGAAATCTGGAGTGAGATTGCACATTAATCTAATGTGAAAATCAGAATTTGGTGAGCCGTGATTGCTCCCTGTGCACAATAACCCAAGGGTCAAAGGAAAATGCGAGGCATTTGTCATTTTGGGCTCTGGCAATGGCTAATCAGAGCCTTAAGGGCCCAGCACCAGCCCCGGGAGCAGAGGCAGAAAACACTGCTGTGGGAAGGTCATCCCCTCAGAGTTGTCATCATTCCCTGTGAGACCTCCTGCTGTTTATTTGGTTTAAAAAAATCATAGAGTGCTGAAGTTTGCGTTCAGATTTGCATCACTTGCATTCAGATATGCACACCCTCTTGGGAGGAAGAGACAGGAGTGGTGTGACAGCAAATACTGTGGGAGGAATTGGGGACAGTCCTATCTCCTGTGTCAGAGAAAATGTTATCTCTGATGTGGATCAGGGCCTATCTGCTAAGTGTTTTGCCAAGGCCTTTGTAGGTTTCTTCTGGATTAGGGCAGGGTAGGGGGCAGAGTTGGAGGCCCTGTGGAGAGACCACACAGCCCAGGGGAGAAACCCTGTCCTTGGACACAAAAAAACCTGAATTCTAGTCCACAGTCTGCCCCTTACTGCCTGGAAGGCTTTGGGATAGTTTGTTTTCCTGTAAAATAGGGAGGAAATATTACCTGAATTTTTAAATGAGGACAGTATATTGTATTTGCAATTTAAAAGCAATGAGAAACAAGAAAAAAAAGTTTTAAATTTTATTTTTTATGTATTTACATTTTTTTCTAGTTTTATTGAGATATAATCGACACATAACATTGTATTAGTTTAAGGTATACACCATAATGATTTGACATATGTATATGTTACAAAATGATTACCACAATAAGTTTAGTTAATATCCATCACCTCACATAGTTACAGCTTTTCTTCTTGTGATGAGAACTTTTTTTTTTTTTAATTATTTATTTATTTATTTTTGGCTGCATTGGGTCTTCGCTGCTGCTTGCGGTCTTTCTGTAGTTGCAGACAGCGGGGGCTACTCTTCGTTGTGGTACGCAGGCTTCTCATTGCAGTGGCTTCTCTTGTTACGGAGCGTGACCTCTAGTTGCGTGGGCTCTAGTAGTTGTGGCCCACGGGCTTAGTTGCTCCACGGCGTGTCAGATCTTCCCGGACCAGGGCTCGAACCCTTGTCCCCTGCATTGGCAGGCAGATTCTTAACCACTGCGCCACCAGGGAAGCCTGTGATGAGAACTTTTTTTTTTTTTGCGGTACGCGGGCCTCTCACTGCTGTGGCCTCTTGTTGCGGAGCACAGGCTCCAGATGCGCAGGCTCAGCGGCCATGGCTCACGGGCCCAGCCGCTCCGTGGCATGTGGGATCTTCCCGGACCGGGGCACGAACCTGTATCCTCTGCATCGGCAGGCGGACTCTCAACTACTGCGCCACCAGGGAAGCCCGTGATGAGAACTTTTAAGATTACTCTCCTAGCAACTTTCAAATATACAGAACACTATTATTAATTATAGTCACCATGCTGTACATTACATCCCCAGGACTTATTTATCTTTTTTTTTAATATATATAAATTTATTTATTTTATTCTTGGCTGCCTTGGATCTTCGTTGCTGCGCACAGGCTTTCTCTAGTTGCTGTGAGCGGGGGCTACTCTTCCTTGTGGTGCGTGTGCTCCTCATTGCATCAGCTTCTCTTGTTGCGGAGCACAGGCTCTAGGCGTGCAGGCTTCAGTAGTTGTGGCACGAGGGCTCAGTAGTTGTGGCTCGCGGGCTCTAGAGTGCAGGCTCAGTAGTTGTGTTGTATGAGCTTAGTTGCTCCATGGCATGTGGGATCTTCCCGGACCAGGGCTCAAACCCATGTCCCCTGCATTGGCATGCGGATTCTTAACCACTGCGCCACCAGGGACATGCCCTTATTTATCTTATAACTGGAAGTTTGTACCTTTTGACCATCTTCAGAAATTTCCCCAGCCTCTAGAAATAAGAATTTTTAAATCCCCATGTGAGTCCCACCAATCTGCCTTCCTCACAGGGTTGCTGTAAACTGATTGGGGGGTGTGCTCTGTGTGTGTATGTGTGTGTAAGAACAGCTCTGTGCACTGGGGTTCTGAGCTCTTTTCCTTTGCTCTCCCACCAGCTGAGGAGGAGAGAGGTGCCCTCTTTCCAACCCTCACCGAGGAGAGGGGTGACTCACCCCATTGAAGCAGTTGTCCTCTGTGGTATAAAAGCAGAGCAGTAGTAGGTGTTGAGGGAAGTCCAGAGGCTGTGGACTGAGACCTGGAATCAGGCAGTGAGGGTGTGGCCACCTGGGCTCACCTCCACTCCCAGGGCAGTTACTCCATTTCCTGCCATATTGATTACCTCTGATCAATCTAAACTGGCCTGCCTGGTGGCATCATCTGCCTCTGGCCTAAGGATGACAGAAAGCCAGCTGCCTCAAAAGTAGACATGCCGGGCTTCCCTGGTGGCGCAGTGGTTGAGAGTCTGCCTGCTGATGCAGGGGACGTGGGTTTGTGCCCTGGTCCGGGAAGATCCCACATGCTGCGGAGCGGCTGGGCCCATGAGCCATGGCCACTGAGCCTGCGTGTCCGGAGCCTGTGCTCCGCAGCGGGAGAGGCCACAACAGTGAGAGGCCTGTGTACCGCAAAAAAAAAAAAAAAAGTTGACATGCCAAGGACTAGAAGGATACAGGACTTACTCATCGCCAATGAGGCCATGGTAGTAACCATAGTCTATCAG